CAAAAGTTTTGGCAAAACAGAAACCAAAAGGTCTGTTACTGACGACTTTAGTTAGAATGATTGACGACAGACACATTAAGTGAGGCGCCGCTCAACCCGCCTGAAATTAAAACGAATGAAGTTGTATTAAAAAGTACCACCCCCGATTCGGTAAAGACCATACCGAATATCGGATGTGGGTCGGTAGATGGACGCGACGGGTGACCACCCGTACATTACCCCGCCCGGTAAGACGCTTACGCAATTTATAAAATTTGCGTAATTAAGTTTTTTTATTAATGGCGTCAATTGCGCTCTTACTAAAAACTGTCGTAATGACCTTTGTTCATAAAAAGACAAACGATTATGTTGAGAAATACAGAGGCAAAGTGACATGGTGGACCTAGGACAAAACCTTCACTCCAGAACCACGGGGACTTGTGCATCGAGGAACCGCTACTGGGGACAGCGTCGACTCGAGCACCTGGACTTGGTACGCAGGCTTACACTACTCGGGTGGTCCCGCAACCCCCCCGTCGTCCGAGGTCCCTGTAGGACTTCCCTGAGGAAGTCCGGACCTCCAAGGAAGAAGGGAGGTTGTGCACAGGTGGTGCATGTCCCTTCTAGTCTCCCCGGGCACCCAGGCGCGACGTCTCTCCTCCCTGTGAGTACTCAAGGTGTGTGACTCGCTCTACGTGACGATTTAATCTCCAAAGAAAAAAAGAATAACCTTTTGTTTTTTCAGGACGACTTATAACACACCGGCAACTTATATAAATGGTGATTCATCCTATATAGTATAATGAACTACTGGTTCGTATACGTAATAAGTACTTCCGTGTGGTTGTTTCATTACGTCAGGGTAGTAACCAACGTTTCGGTGCCTACACAAACATATTGTGCTATGTGTTTATAAATATTATCGGTTTATATGACTAAACCTCTAAACAAAAAGCGGTGACGCAAGTCGAAAAGCTGGTGAGAGAAAAAGACAAAGTGCACCAGTACCGAAAGAGGTACCTCTATAGAAGAAGGGTCAGGTGAAGAAATGGTAAACAAACCTCGTTACCGTAGATATTAGAAAAATTAAAAACTTAATTTTACTAGAGGGATCGAGTACATGACTCTACAATCGTCCCCCGTCCACACCTTCTTTATTAAGCCTCATTTTTTGTAAAGGGATCATAGAATTTCAATTATAGCCGAAACACAACAATGGAGAAAACCTTGTAAAAAACACTTGTCTTTATCTCCGAGAGTTTCTTTTGTGTCCTTACTAGTTCTCTCACGTTTGTAGTCAGTGGTGTTGGAAGCTCTATAAGTCTGGGAAACTCTATTAAGTCAGGTCTCACACGGGAATTAACCACGCAGCCGGGCAGTGTACGACTAGTCAAGGTATCAATAGTTCTTGTGTTTTGCAAGAAATCGGGGAGACAGGACCCCCAACAGTTGTACCTACAATTATTAGTTGTTTAAATACTTGATCTGCAGTTTCAGTTATGTGTGATATAGACGTCGAAGTTCATTCTACACTAGTTTTTTCGAACGTGTCATAAACCCACCAGATATCTATAAATCCTTGTCTCGAGCCCTCCTCGTAAATGTCGACCTTCCCGTTGTATAAGTTTTCTTCGTTTCAAGGGGTATTCATACAGAAGGAGGACGTAAATCTCCCTCATTAACTTGTTTTTTATCGTTGAGGTGGAGGAAAGAATACGTAAGGAAAAGGGACTGAGTATTTTGACTCAACCCTCACAACTAACCTATTCTTGTCGACGTGACACTAAAACAAGTTAGGTTCAAAGACAATTTTTGTATTTGGCTCTTAACACCGAGTCACTATTTTAGTTAACTAATTTTTTACAAAAAAGGACGGTATTTCTGGACTGTTAAATTATTCGGATCACATGCAAACAAACTTATGTGGTAGCCAGGTTAAAAAACACCGTTCGACACCGACTGTACCTTAGTGACGATTAAAACTATTTGAGTGTGTTCAAACTCGCGCAGGACAACAGATTCGACTAAGTGGTCGAGAGTTTAGATTAATGGATAAGTGTGTCTATAGTCGTTTCGATGACCGTCACGTCCCGGGGGGGCCGTACAGGACCTTTCTCAACTCTCACGGTATACGGGAACTCGGACCTGGGTCGGTATAGTCATCTCAAACGGCGCAAAACATGTCGTCCTGCGTAGGGAATAGTCGAAGCACTGGACGTCTACCACAGAACTTCCCCCCCCCCCACAACCTGTATTTTCTTTTGAGAAAGTGCATCTCTCTCGGTTATACGTCTTTAACAATAATAAGGGGGGAACCTGTGCCTGTGGACCTCTTGTGGTTGTTAGACGTACGTACCCAGTCTCACGTCTGTTACACATTATGAAATGGAACGTGATACAGTGAAGCTACCATTCTTGACACCGTACTCAAGTCGGCCGACCAAGTTGCAGACCTATAGGACGTATCTCCCTCCCTTGACGCCCCTTGTTTCTGGTCTTGGTGTACTTCATTTCCTTACGTCGATCAGGTGTATGAGATACAAGTGATACAATGCGGTCTCAATACCTTTGTAACAATAGATTAATTTCATCCGACCACCTGCAGTCCGTGAATGACCCAAGGAAACTTTTCGTCTTCAACGGTGCTGTATAAACCCGAGACTTCAGTTGAACCGACACTTCCTTCTTTGTTTTGTCAAATCCCGAACGTAGGTTAACCTTCCCTCAGTCGACACTTACTAATATTCATTTATCACTTCATTCCACATAAACCGTCATGGTGCGATCTTAAACATTGTGCAGTTCGTAAACCTTGCGACACACCATATATAAGTTATTCAAAGTTTGCTGGAATTAAGTATAGGGACGTTTGGGTAAAAGAAATGAATATTCCTTATGATGTTACTTTTTGTATCACAAGTGATCCGTTCCAGAATGCAACTCTCAACAAAAGGTAATAGTGTTATGAACCGGGTTTGTAAGAATATCTAATTTAATAAATAAATAAAGAATAGGTTCCACTACGAACCGAACCAGATACATAACAGGTCTTTTACTTTTTTTCTTTTTTAGGTAAGGGTTTATGATGATTAGGTTTAAGTTACAAAGAAGTCTGACAAAACAAAATTTCGAATTTCAAGGGGTTTGGGATCTTCATAGAACACCGTTGATAATGTCTTCTGGCCAATCAGAATCAAGATAACGGCGTGGTGTTGTTGCAGGAAGTCCGGACGGAGAATACGTTTGCTGTAGTACATCTCTATATACATCGATACAACATTACGTGTTGATTTCTATCAACACGTAATGAAATAAAACCCCACGGTTTGATGATTGATAGGTGTGTGGGCTGTCTTTCATTTTGGCACACAGAACAATGTTATAATAAACATACATACTTGTCCATTCCCACAACAATATACATAAAGAAATGGCACATTTTGGACATAGTTCGAATGGTGATTAATCATGATAATTAATTTTTAAGCTGTGATTAATCTGATTAAAAATGTTAATCGTTTGACAGCCCTAGTTTCCAGATGTAGGGAGAATAAAAACAGAATGCTGCTTCTCCATATTTACTTTTGACTCCGGGGAAAGCATCAAAGAAAAAAGCCAACTTTTTTTTTTTTTTGCGTGTGTCTTTCAGGAGATGCTTGGTCTAAAGCCCGCCGCAACAGGACAACAAGGGCGCCCACAGGCCGCTCAGGATGCTGAAGCCACTTGCAAGTACGTAGGAGCATCACACCTTCCCCTCTAGTCTGAATAAAGTTAATGGGAGCTGTTTCTAAAGGTTAAATACACACAGTGAGTTTGTCTTTGCCTAAAGCGTGTTTGTGTTCCCTCGTAGGTTCCTTCAGCCCGTGCACAGAGTCGACATGAACCTGACTGACTTGCTCGGTGAGCTTCAGAGAGACCCCTGGCCCGTCCCTCAGGGCAAACGGCCCCTCCGCTCCACTGGGGTCGCACTGTCGGTCGCTGTGGGCCTGTTGGAGGTATGACACACACATATACACACACACATTCAGATAATATTACATTAAGGTGAAACATGGGGTTATTGTCCCTCCATAACATGTCTACTGTCAGTTTAAAGGAAATAAAAGACCCAAAATTCACATTAAGGTGTTTATCTTACAACATTTAAACTATTTTATTAGTATACAAATACCACTTTTTAACAGTAATTTTAGAGTGATACCAAGAGATATTCCCTGCGTAAAAATCAATTTAAAATGTCAACAAAATATACAAGAATGTTAAACCTGGCTCTAACTAATGGTCAATGTTTTGTTCGGGAAATGGATGCATATTAGCCAATATTTGCATATTTAAACATAAAAACTCAATAATCTTCAATATAAATAATTGTCTTGCTAAAGTCAATCGACTACATTTCATCATATCAATTGGGTCAATATGTCTCCCTTATCACCTGTATTATCCCTCCTTAAGTGCATACAAATAATGCAGGACTATATCTATGCTGTTCTTTACATGTCTAAAAAAACAACAACAAAAAACAACTCCAGACCATACCCGAGTGTATGCTTATGGTCTGGATTCAAATGAATAAGTCACTCTGTTGGAGGCGCTTCACAGTAAGCTGAACTTTATCCTCTTGGAGACGATAGTGCCTCATGCAGTGGTTCAGAAAGGCACACGGTGTCTGATGACTATCTGCTGCAGGAACAGTACATGTGCTTTGTGAGTTCAAAGGCTAGTTCCATGTTTGCCTTTTTCCCCCTCACCATCATCATCATCATCATCATCATCATCATCCTCTCTCCTCCTGCTGCTAATCAGCACGGTTACATAACATTCGCTCTCCCCGCTCCCCTCTCCCTCAGCATGTAGGAGGCCTGATTGGAATAGATTTGGCTTTTTCAGATTCACTGATTTGTTCAAGAGGCGTTTTGCTTGATGAATGGCTCTTTAACATGTGAATCCGAACAAAAAAAAAAGGCCCAATTTGTTGGCTTATTTATTTGATTGTTCTCCGTGAATGAGTACACTTTGGCCCTGCATAAATGAATCACTGTTTATGTAGAACATGTGGTCAATAAGAGCTTGTTCCGGTGGCTTCCTGGCCTACTTCCAAATGCCTCGACTTTCCCAGACTCCTGGACTTTAGACTTGGTTGAGTATTGGCTGAAAGATCTCCCTTCTGCTGAAACTGATTCCCTCAAAGCGCTAAATCTGACTTTTCACACTCCTTAAACACACTTTAAGTTGACCTGGATTTCTACTTTTGTCATAAAATGTAAAAAAAAGGCATTATTTGAATGGAAATTTATTTCCAATAGCTTTATAAAGCAATGAGTATTCATTATATAATTTAGGTTTATTTTCTCCTTTGAAACCTACCTAGCAACGCTATAAAAAAAGAAGTAACCAACCATATTGAATTTAAAAACATGTGATCATAATTCTTGAAATAAGGCGAGATGATTTTTCTCAAATCTTCTCTTTAAACGGCAAATTCGAGAACTAGGTCACTGATCCGTTAGTGGTCATTATCCAGATCCACTGCCCAAGTACATGGATTTGAATGTGGATATAAATGAGTGCAAACTGTGCACTTCAATTGGCAAAAAAAATCTAAAACGGTATGTGACCTAGTCGAGAAAGATTGTGGAGTTTATTTGTAACTTAAGCAGAGGGGACTGTAAAGCAATAACCCACTTCCTCCTCTCTTTATCTCCAGGGTACGTACCCCAACACCGGAGCTCGCGTGATGCTGTTCATCGGAGGGCCCCCCACCCAGGGCCCCGGCATGGTGGTGGGAGACGAGCTGAAACTCCCCATCCGCTCCTGGCACGACATCCAGAAAGACAACGCTCGCCATTTGAAGAAGGCAACCAAGGTGAGCAACTGCATAGGCGTTTTCAACTCTACTTGTATTTGAGTGGAATACTCCTTTTACACATTTAGTTTAATGCCGTTAACAATCTTGCTGCAACATTTTGAACGACAACTTTATTGTTTAGGCCGGTTAAAATTGAATTATCAATTTAGAAAGTTGGCGAAAACAAGACTGGACGTTCCCCAAAAAAGAAATAAAGGCAAACACAATTATCATGTTCACTGACAACAATCCGTGTTCCTTTGTGTCCCACAGTACTATGAAGCCATGGCCAACCGCACAGCAGTCAACGGCCACTGCATCGATATCTACGCCTGCGCCCTGGACCAGTCGGGGCTGCTGGAGATGAAGTGCTTATCTAACCTCACCGGGTACGTCAGCCTCAGTGTCAGGGATGTGTGGTGATTCACATATTAATGAGATATTTTAGATCCTAACTGATTTATTTCTTTGATCAGGGGGCACATTGTGATGGGCGACTCCTTCAACACCTCACTGTTCAAGCAGACCTTCCAGAGGGTCTTCAGCAAAGACTACAACGGAGACTTCCGCATGGCCTTCGGAGGCGTCTTGGAGGTCAAGGTAAAGGAATCATTTAAGCATTATTAACCAATGAATATCCTCGTTTGATATGTTTTATTCCATTTGATTCAAAGCGTTGATAGATCTACATTCCTATACTCATGTTGTGTGTCTTTCTGTCTTTATAGACGTCAAGGGAAGTGAAGGTTTGCGGCACCATCGGACCGTGTGTTTCACTCAACGCCAAGGGTCCCAGCGTCTCAGAGAATGTGAGTCCCTGCCCCCCCTCCCCCCATTCAGTGTCAGATTCCTTCCTTCCCACAATGCACTTGTAATCCGAGAGTTGCCGCATACTGGCATTCATCACAATGTCTCCTCTGTTTTGTGCAGGAGATGGGTACCGGGGGCACGAGCCAGTGGAAAATATGCGGACTCAACCCCTCCACCACTCTGGCCATATTCTTTGAAGTGGTGAATCAGGTAAATATAAACACACTTCCTTGAATTTGATCTCGTTAGCTCTGAAGGGATTACTGTAGACTGATGACAAGTCTCTAATCACATCAAAAAAGTGATTTAATTGTGATGTGATGAAGGCTTTGTTTAGAGAAACTCCTCGAACAATGGTTTTGTTGTTCCTCGTAGAAGGCCATTTGTTAGACTTGTGCAAAGAGAGATGTCTTACTGTGTCTTCTGTTTTTTGTGTGTGTAGCACAATGCCCCCGTTCCCCAGGGGGGCCGAGGGGTGATCCAGTTTGTGACCCAGTACCAGCACTCCAGCACACAGAGGAGGATACGGGTCTCCACCGTCGCCAGGAAGTAAGAAGACCCTAAAACATTACAGTATCACATGTGTACCTGGAACATTAATATAAAAAAAGGTTTCAATTTGGATGTATTGAAGTACATTTTTATGAAGAACTTATCCGTAGTCTTTATTACCTTCAGTAGATGATTGGCTACACACAGTATCGGGAAGCACACAGGGTTAGTGGCAAAACATATACGAAGAAATGTTCTCTTGAAAGCCACCAGACTCCATTGGGGGAAAAAAACAACACATTTTACCCTTGAACAGCACAGGAGGTGCTGCTCTTCCTCTTCCTTGATCCGTTAGTTAGTTTGTGTTATTGTGTGACTTAGTGATTCCATCATACCCTTTAAATCTCCAAAGTCACACAATAAAACAAACAAAGACATGGATAGAGGCAGCGGTGGACAAGCTACTTGTGTGTTCTGTAAGGTAAAATTAATGTTTGGTGGCTTTGAAGATGGCTCTAGTTCCTCTTTGAAAAGGGTAGCATGGAAAAGAGGTGAAAATATTATAAATATATTATACACTGAAAATGACATTTTTCGGTGGGTAAAATGTGCTGTGCTGCTGCCACGTCCACAGCAGTATATTGCTTATCTTTAGTGCATTACTACTGTCTCTTGACAATAAAGAAAGAGACTGCTGGATTAAATATAACCTCCTCTAAAAGGATGTTTACATTCCTGTAGATCCTGGCGACGCCTTCAGAGAGCTGTTTGCATGTGTGTCTTTAAACAGCACTCCCAAGCTCACCTGCAATACCTTTTTTTCCTTTGTACCCAAGCTGGGCTGACGCGCAGACTCAAATCCAGCACATCGAGTCGTCATTCGACCAGGAGGCGGCCGCGGTGATCATGGCCCGCCTGGGCGTGTTCCGGGCCGAGTCGGAGGAGGGGCCCGACGTGCTGCGCTGGCTCGACCGGCAGCTCATCCGCCTGGTGAGTGACGCTCACATACCTCCATACCTGGGCTCTGTGACAACAATGCATATTTGGCATTCTTAGGATTGTGCGCTATAAATACATTCCACAATCTGTCACGTAGGATGTTCCAGGTTATCATAGGTTAAAGTGTGTTCAGTAATTGAACCGTGTTCTGTCTTTTTTTTTAGTGTCAGAAGTTCGGACAGTTCAACAAAGATGATCCGACCTCATTCAAACTGTCAGAGTCTCTGTCCCTCTACCCACAGGTAAACATGGAAATAATTGACTAAATGGACTTTTCCACCTATTTCTAGCTCGGATTTAAATGTGTATACTCATTATAACTCTGTCCCCACTTTTATTGGTTTAGAATATGCTTTAATATAACGTTTATTTCCTCCACCTTCAGTTCATGTTCCACCTGCGGCGGTCGCCCTTCCTGCAGGTGTTCAACAACAGCCCCGATGAGTCCTCCTACTACAGACACCACTTTGTCAGGCAGGACCTGACCCAGTCCCTGATCATGGTGCAGCCCATCCTCTACTCATACTCCTTCCACGGACCGCCAGAGGTCAGCCTCACACCCTCCACACCATTAGTATCTTCACTGTTGGAGAGACGTCGGCCTTTCCTTCAGAATGTCTGTGAGAAATGATGTGTTTGGTGCTTGAATGGTTTCCAACTGGATGTGTCTCTTCACAGCCCGTCCTCCTGGACAGCAGCAGCATCCTGCAAGACCGGATCCTGCTCATGGACACTTTCTTCCAGCTGGTTATCTACCATGGAGAGGTGAGACAGCAGATCAAAAACACCTGTCCCCATCTGTCATTTACCTCCTTAAAGGGACAGTTCACCCTAAATTAAAGTTGCCAACATTTTTTATATTGCATTTACCTTCTCTCACATATATTAAAACTATATGGCGTTCATACACAAATAAATAAAACAACTTTACAGTAATTTCTCTTTCCCAATTGAGGAATACATTTTTTTTAAACAAGCTTTTATCCAGGGTTGATCTCCAAAAAATGTTTACCAAACTATACCGTCATATGAGTGAACTTGAGCCTATCAATAGTATATTGGCGGGTGTAGTTTGGTTGAAATAAAATAGTTCCATCTAAAAATTCTACCACAATCAATATTACAGATACGTGGCAAAATATGTTGTTTTGATTTTCGGGATAAACCGTCCCTTTTAATGTCTTTCTAGAAAATATCATTAAGTGATACAGCAGACATTTCTTAATGAAGTCCTTTATCTCTTCACTTCCAGACCATAGCCCAGTGGAGGAAGGCAGGTTACCAGGAGATGGCGGAGTACGAGAACTTCAAGCAGCTGCTGCTGGCCCCCCTGGACGATGCCCAGGAGATCCTGCAGGCGCGCTTCCCAATGCCGCGCTACGTCGACACGGAGCACGGCGGCTCGCAGGCCCGCTTCCTGCTCTCCAAGGTCAACCCATCGCAGACCCACAACAACCTCTACGCCTGGGGACAGGTACGCTGTTATACGCTACAACTGCCTGTGTTTTAAACTTGAGAATAGATGGCTTTCAACTGAGCATATGAAAAGAAATGCATCGTGCCGCTTCAGTCGGCTGAGGTTATTCAACCCTTAAATGGAAACACATATTACTATTTTGGAAATATATTCCACCGTAATTACTTTGTTATTACACCCATTTTACACATGGACACTGCCTGTCAAATGACTGTATCCCCCAGGACACAGAAACAATATAAGGGTTAAAAACAAGTACAGCACCCTTATAACCATTTATCTAAAAAAATAAAAAACGTATCAGAAATCTCCTTCTGACGTCCAAATCAAGAAAAAACAATCTGTCAAACCGTCAGCAAACGCAGGCCTTGGATTTGCTAACTTCAGATTTTAAGTGTGGGAGATTGAAAGCTAAAAATAGCATTAATCTCTTATTTCCCAAGTGAAAGGAGAGCTGAACCCTAATCTGGCGTTTCACAAACACTACGTAAATTTATACAGCGCAGATTAACAAGACAACAAGGCCTTACATAAGCTAATCTTAGCCATAAACCTAATTACTTAGTTTAAACAAGCACAGGATCAGAGTTGTCACAAAAAGATCTATCCGGAAAGTGCGTTAATAACTCTTCTTCTTCTTTCTCTATCTGCAGGAGACAGGAGCCCCGATCCTCACCGATGACGTCAGTTTGCAGGTCTTCATGGACCACTTGAAAAAACTGGCAGTTTCCAGCTCAGCATAGACGTCTCTATTCCACCATTTAAGGGATCCATCAACATTTCCTCCGTTTCTGTAAAGTAGACAAACCCACAGTCTACTGTATGTGCTTGCTTTTCCTTTCCGGAGTCACATGTGACATATCCATGCTACAAAACGAACAGAAAAAAATAGCACATTCCTTGAAAGACAATTTTACTCATTTTCATTTCCATGTTATTTATGAGAAACGGCTCCACACTGTCCTCATGCAAGCAATATCACATGCTCCATTTCTCTTTTTATATTTGACAAGCAGAATGATTAGACTGATAATTAATATTTTTGTTTTCTCTTTGTTTTTTCGACCCAAACAAGTGTCTGCTGCACCCGGCTGACGGTGCTGTTGTATGTGTTTTTGCTTTGTCTATAGCTAAAGATGATATGCCTAGATTTTTCTTAATAATAAATTATAATGGTACCTTCTGACGCTGGTTAAGAAATGCTCACATTGATGGCTTGTTAATCACTTGACATACTGATAGGAAATCCTTCCCGGATTGATAGTGTTTTCCGAGAAAATTCCTTCTGAATAATGAGGATTAATGTTCCGAGGAATGGGAGTCAATCACACCGACTCTGTTGTCAATGACGAACATCATTTCCATGTATTTTTAACTTTATGGGTGGCTCTATAGTTCATTCCTCTCATCCCCGACTCGACACCATCTGGCATTTTGCGCCCAATGATTTCCCAAGTGTCTTTCTAATCAAACTTTAATACACCGTGAGACTGTATAAAAAGGCAACAGTTGTTTGATTTAGACCCTGTCTGGATTTGAAATGCTATCCATTATAAAGCCCCGTCGACAGAAAAACGAATTATTTGTGTGTCTGTCCTTGCACCAGCATGCACATTCACAAAGCATATTCACAGGGTTAGAAACTACCAGTGGTGTGAAGTTATATATATATATATATATATATTTATATATATTTATTTATATATATATATATATATATATACATTGAGTAATCAATAACTGAAAGACATTGATATATAGAGTAAGTGGGCTAGCTTAAATACTTGAGTATATATATATATATATATATATATACTCAAGTATTTAAGTTTGAGATTAGTTCTTCAGTATTTTAGTTTTTTGCTACTTCATACTTAAGTCGTGTGCTTTTACTCCACTACATTTATTATATCCCAGTTTTCTTTGCAGATTTGGATTCATGATGTGAAATACAATCAACACTTAAATCAGACTTTAGTTACACCTGGAGTAAATGCACAAGCTACACTGAACTATACAAATTCATTAAAATCCACCTTTACCAGCTGTGAGAAAGCCTTTAATGCAACACGAGTTAAAATCAAAATATGTCTTATCTATATTATAATCTGCATAATAAGTGCTTTTACTTTTGGTACTTTAAGTATATTTTGATGCTAATACTTTTATAATTGTTCTAAAATAAAATGTGCAATGTTGGACTTCCTTAACAACTCCTCCGGCTTTGATTTCTTTTAACCGAAGTTGTTCTTTCCTAAGTGTACAAAATTAGGATTAGTCCATATGTTTGGAATTTTATATTTCGGTGTGTTAATGTAGTGATACTTTGATTAAGTGATATATTATAATTGTCTTTATGTTACGTACGTCATAAAACACAAGATAGAATAAATTGAATTGTTGTACCGACCCAACCACCATCCTGTCCCTGTTCTCGTCTCTTCTAAGATTTGGGGCTCCGGTGAGACTAGTCACTGAGAGTCGCAATTGCAGATCGCCGGGTCGTGCGGCATACCAATTCTACAACAGGTCAAGGTACGACTACCCTTGCCCAGACCTCTCTAATTTCGGCCACGTCAGAGACCTAACGAGAAAGGTCGCACATGACGCTGTAACCGATCGAGCGGACACGCACAGCAGAGGAGTAACCAGTTGATAACGCGGACATCCACTTTCGTCCCTACAAGTTTGACTGGGAAGAAGATAGTTCGTTCAAGAGCTACCACCTGGGTGCCAGAGGCGGTACTGGAGTAGGGGTGGGAGTCTATCAGAATCTTTGGGTGACAGGTACCGACTATTTGATGCGACGAAGACGGTCGTATCCCAGTCTATTTTGATCTAATCGGGTAATCCCCGGTGTCACTGTTATATAAAGTGTCACAACGCACTAAACATGACGACTTTCACAGTGAGGAACATAGCAGACCGAAACACCGAGAGACGATACCGTGAAAGACGCGTGTCAAGTTACTACCGTCCAACAAGCTCCCATCAAAAAGCGGAAGCTTGCTGTTCCGTACCCACCGGTGGCCTAACAGAGAGAACCGTTCGGTCCCCTAGTCCTGAGCCACTTGCAAGTGGGGTAGTGCAGTTAGGTCATCGGATTAGTGTTACGTAACGGTAACTACATCAATGTGTAACTTCCCACCGTTATGAGGTATGAGATCAAATCAAAATCGAGTAGTCCCAGTAGTCCTAAACCAGTTGTTGTCCACTCCCATTAACTACCGAATGACTTTCCGTTGTTGTGCAGTGGTCCACTTTTTTAACTTGGTGGTTATGCGTGAGGACATATGTCGGCCCCTGATCGTAGTAGTTACTGGACACACGATCAGGTGTCACTCCTGGGTAAAGACGGAGCGTGACACACCGGAACCAGATAAAAAATTGTCTGACACACAACTTCCCACACACACCAGTTATAAACTGCCTGGAGGGTACCCAGACCCGTAGAACTTTACAGCCACATCGTCCGAGGCTCAGAGTGTCCGGTGCCCGTCTGACTGTCCAAGCTCCTCGTAGATTTTTCCCCTCTCTTTGTACCTACCTCCGAGTAATTGACGTTCCGTATCTTAGGTCCGTCCGTAAACCCTAGTAATTTCATAGATAGGCAGTAGGATAGATAGATAGATAGATGTGGCGTCCGCGTGTGTGTGTGTATGTATGTGTGTGGTTGTGTGTGTGTGTGTCTCGTGTGTGTGGTGCGTGTGTGTGTGTGTGTGTGTGGGTGTGGTGGTGTGTGTTAATTACTTCATCGGCAGGGACCCGTAACAAACAGGGTAGAGGTTTTGTTAGTTGACGGAATCGTTTTATTGGCCACTCGTTACAATCATACCTGTTGAATAGTTATTAGATTGGTCATAACAGTCGAGTATCGATTTCACGACTTCGAAAGTGAGGGTCGACAGTTCAGACGCCAAAGAAATAGACCCCCTGGCCGTCACCGGCGACCCACTCAACTGCAGGAGAAACCAGACCCCTCCCGCTCATGAGAGGTTTGGTTGTTGCGACCCTTTTCCTATAGGAACCAACCAAAACCCAGTTGTTTCACTATCCTTGTTTGTTTTTGCACCGCCACCACCAAAGAATTTAAACGTTACGGAAGTCGGGTCCAGAACACTTAAGGCTCAGGCCAAGTCCCTGGACGCTTTTTACAGTTGGGTGTTCTCCTCCGGCCGTACTTCTGTAACGGAGAAGCGCATCGGGACCAAACACCAGCAATCGTGAGAAGATAGGATTTGAGTGAAAGCAAGTCTCACCGAAAGAGCTGCACTAACCGTTGGCGGTGATTGGCGATGGCCGTGTGCATCAAAGGGCTTGCGTGAAAAGAAGTTACAACATTAACATATATAGGGAGAAACAGTATGACGTCTATAGTCGACCGAACAGGCGTGTTTGCCTCGGATCGAATCGTTTTGTTTTTGGGTCAGGCTGGTTTTGCTTCACGTAACGTAGCTTCCCCTCAAGTCCTTACATTCGTCGCCTATGCCGGAGTTATTGAACACAATAGGCGGGACCGACAGACTTTATTATTCTACACCCATATGCGGCCGCACTATGGACCGCATGATGATAGGCCTGCTGAAGTGTGGTGACTCCGTAGTGATTGCCGTGTTAGTTGTACTTAGAGGGGCGGGGCCTGTGTGTCGTGCACCAAACTAACCGACTCTCGAACCATGACCGTAACTAAACTGAACCTGGGACTGCGAAGGCAGCTTCAGGATCGTTTTCAACTTGGGTAACGAGTTGAAAACTTTCCGCTCGGTGCGTTAGTTGTCGCTTTCGACGCGTGTTACGTCAAGCCCGTTTCACACTGCTTAAGTTGTGAGTCCCGTGCTAAAGAGTTAGCGCTCCTCTGACGAAGGTTCGGTTATAAAGTTCCTATGGATTTTTGCAGTAGGCTTCACCTGGCGGCTTCCTGACAAGGTTAAGAGGTTCGTATGAATCCTTAAAGGTGGCTCCGGTGGCAGGAACCAGAACCCCCATTTAAAAGTTCCGACCGTCGTACCCATCTGGAAGCGCAGGAGAGTTTAGGGGTGGTTTACGAAACGCGGTCTGCCTGGCGTTAAAGTTTTTTAGGAACGCCTCTTTACCCGACTTGGCGTGCATAACGTCGTGTGGAAAATTATAATACATCCACATCACCCGCGATCTTGTCACAACCATATTAATACACTGAAACATATTTGTAAACAATAGTCGGTTTTTTACACAAGGCACTTTCAATTCGTTCAAGTAATTAATCTATGCTTGTAGCACTCCATAAATAAAAGGCATTGTCAATACAACTTTGGGCAATCTCTCTCACACGTGTGAACAATCCCCGGGAAAGGTTAGAAGAAACAAAAGGCTTCGGCACCGGAACTTTCATTCAACCGAAGACAAGACTTCCTTCACTGACCTTCATACGGCTGATGGATTGCGGTCAATAGGAGCGCTACTCTTTGCGAAGAGTCTTCCACGTCTTCACAACTTCGAAGTTGCCTTGCGGCAGCACACCTGCCCGGCATTGGAAACACTGGACCTACACTTTTTAGGTCTCGTCATCAAAGGTCACCACCTTTCTTGACTCTTCCCAGGTCGACGTCGGCGCCGGTCAGCCAACTTCCGAACTTGGACATCCTTCGACATCGAAGGTTTATACCAGTCTTCTCTCGCGCGGGTTGTGACGCTATTGCGAACTGCGTTCCTTATGAATTCCTGGTTATGTGATGTACCTCCAAATGTCTCTTGTGTGTTGTGTTGTATACCGTGTAGCTCAGTCCATTTTTTTGAGAAGAGCAGTTCTCTCACTATATACAAAGAATTTCTAATTTAGAAATTTTTGGTACGGACAAACAGGTAAAAATTTCAACTACCTGTCTTACTTTATTATTATCCAGTGACTGTACCTCGAAATTCCGGGACGTTACGAAATTGGTTTTACAACCACAGCAAAGTCAAACTTCTCACTTTTATAACTACAATTTAAGTTGGTTTATCATACTATTAGTCCTAGAACTTCGGTACTACAAAATTTCATGTCTTGTTAGTTTACAAAGCATTATCTGCGGATCATGAAGAATCAAATATTTCAATTATTATTTACCTTTTTTACTGCGAAGTTAATCACCGGACCTGACCGGGAGGATTAGACCAGAATGTTTTTCCTTTACTAGTAAAACTACTCCCCACAGGGTCGGGTGATAGTTTGTATTATATGATTTGATGCCGATTTACAACTCTAAGTCTTTACACAAAAAGTTTTTTAGTACAAAAGTACAAATCATTCCGGATGGAATGTACTTGGACAAACTTTGGAATTTACTGGGGTACTACACTAATAAAGTTTAGAATTTTGGACGCATTGTTGATATAAATGCTCCTAAGTATTTATATAGGATGAAATACATATGTGCAAATCTGGTCAATCTTTTTGTATTCAATATTCTAACTAGGGTAATAATGGATAAAAGTATACATCCGAGTATGATTTGTTATTTCAACTGGATTCGGTGGAAAAAACAAAATTAAATAATTATTTGTTTTACTAAACACGAAATTTTCAGTAATGACAACACCACAGATTGCCTATCACAT